GACTACATGTTGGACTACATGTTGGACTACATGTTGGACTACATGTTCGACTACATGTTGGACTACATGTTGGACTACATGTTGGGCTACATGTTGGACTACATGTTGGGCTACATGTTGGAATAAATGTTAGACTAAATGTTGGACTAAATGTTGGGCTACATGTTGGATGGACTACATGTTGGGTTACAGGCTAGGTGACATGTTGGGCTACATGTTGGGTTACATGCTGGGTTACATGGTGGGCTACATGTTGGTCTACATGTTGGGCTACATGTTGGGTACATTTTGTAGTAGATGTAGTATCTGATAGTCCATGTTGTAGAAGATTTAGTACCTGGAAGTACACGTTGTAGAAGTTATAGTACTTGGTGGTACATGTTACCCGATTTGGTACCTGGTAGTACGTCATTTTATTCAGTACCTGGTAGTACATGTTGTAGTAGATGTAGTACATGTTATAGTAGATGTAGTACCTAGGAGTACATGTTGTAGTAGATGTAGTAGTACCTGGTAGTAGATGTGGAAGTTTCTTTCTCCAGGGTTTTGTGAAACGACTCGACTTTTCTCCAGAAGGAAGTTGGAAATTTTCCCTCCATCTGGAGCTCCTCCTCGACTGAACAGGATCTCAAAGTATTTTCCCTGACAAAAGTACACAGATGTGTATGGCGGTGTGTCTATTTGTGCATATGTATTTCCCAGTAGTACTACTAGTGATGTATGCTTATACTCACAAATCTGCTAGAGTTGTTGTTGCGGACGGTTTTGGCATTTCCAAAAGCTTCCAGCAGTGGGTTGGACTGCAGGATAATGTCTTTCACATGCTGCTTGGCATATGGTTACCATAGCAACAGCAAATAAATAAGTGCATGAACAGAAGTTGTTGATGATCTGATCTGTGAATAATAATCGATAAAAACCTAAACTTTGGCTTCTCACCTGAACCTTTTCACCTCCTCCAGAGACTTTGGACACATAGCTCATGATGTATTTGGCAGCAACAGTTTTACCAGCTCCACTTTCGCCGCTGAAATAACAAAAAAACACATTGAGACTTCCTGTTTTAGGCTGTAAAATCTGAGTGTGACGTATTGAAGCTCTACCTACCTAATAATAACACACTGATTCTCGGTGTCAATCATCATGTTCCTGTACATGTTGTCAGCCAGAGCATAGATGTGGGGCGGATTCTCATATTGAGCCTGGGATGTAACATGTAGGTCCATTTAGTTGTGTGGTCTTATTGTTTGTTTCTTTGTTTGTTTGTTTGTATTTGTCTCACCGCTCCCTGGTACAGCTCAACTTCTCTGTTGGTGAAATATGGCAGTTGTTTGAATGGGTTCACCGAGATCAAAACTGGACCAATATAGGTCTAATGAAACCAGATCAAGGACCAGAACCAGAGACATACAGATACAAAAACTAATACCAAGACCAGAACTAGAAAAAAACAAAAAAAACAAATTTAGAGCAAAACCTAACACCAAGACCTTTATGACAATGTTCCCTTACAACCAAGGCTTAATTTGAAAATGTTGGTTACGTACTGTAACCCCAGATTCTATGAGTATAGGCGTAGCACTTTAAGGCTGTCGCTGGTGGGTTTATCCCGTCATGCGAAGCATTGCACTGAAAAAATTAGTCCACGCCCACCTGTTGTGTGGACCCCACCCGGTCCGTATAAATTACATTAAGAGCGGGTAATCAGCTCCCAAATAGTATTTTCTTCAGCCATTTAGGAGCCAGTGAGGCCCAACGCTTAAAGGGCTATGCCTATACTCATAGAATCTGGGGTTACAGTACATAACCAACGTTCTATTTCGTATAGGCTTCACCCTTTAAGGCTGTCGCTGGTGGGTTAAGGGCGAAGCAGATGTAGTCTCCGCCTCACTGGGTCCATTCGAACACCATAAGAAGTGCCCGCTTGCCCAAAAAACATCTTGTCACTCAGCTCATGTGCATAAATACGCATTGCGTAATTGCACGCACCATGCACAGATGCGCACTGTGTAGTTTACGCGTTCCGAGTGCATGAACGCCCCGGAAAGGTTTTCAACAGAAAAGAGGAGAGGCTGAAAAAAGGCCATCAACAGAGCAGATGCACGGCTCTTCAATATGAACAGATTAATAATAAATGAACTGATTATTAATCAAATGAACTGATTGGTAACAGTAGTCATGAACTGATTAATGACAATAGAACCAAATAACAGTCACAACATGTGACTGATAACATCTCACACTGTAATGCATGCAGACAGATGTGAGTTTAAACGAGATTCCATGAAACAACAACATTCATTCTGTTAAAACACTAAGCACAGAATGTGTCATGGAACAGGCCGACACATCACGTAAATAAAAGTGAATAAATGAACAGGGTGTTGACCACGCGGCCGCAGTGCAAATATCCTGCGTTGTCATACCATTATGCAAAGCAGTCGAAGATGCGATACCTCTGGTCGAGTGCGTCCTGAGGTTGTCAGGAGGCTCTAAATCTGATGCTCTGTAGGCTCCAGAAATGGCCTCACACAGCCAGTGTGCCAGGCGCTGGGTGGATAATGGGCAACCTGCAAATGTGTCTCTATAGTGCACAAACAAATGTGGAGTCTGACGCAGTGTCGCCGTGCGTGTTACGTAACACTTCAACGCACGTATAGGGCAGAGAAGATGGAAAGATGCTTCTTCTTCTGATTGTGGGGAGGAGGGAAAAAATCCCTCCAACGATATCGCTCTTGATTTAAAAGAGCTTGTGATGTTTTAGGCATAAACGCTGGATTAGGTCTCAGATCAGCTGACCTGCCATCAGCCTGAATTCTGAGACATGACGGAGCGACAGAGAGGGCAGATAAATCACTCATCCTCTTAGCAGATGTTAAAGCCAACAGCAGGGCTGTTTTAAGAGACAAGAATTTAATCTGAACCTGATTTAGTGGCTCGAATAGAGCTTTGATCAGGGCTCGCAGGACCAGCGTTAAATCCCACTGTGGAGCAAGTGGGCGTGAAAACAGGCCTGCGTCTCTGTACACCTTTTAAAAAATGCTTCATCAGCGGATGATTAAAAGCTGTTCTGTCCCCGAAACCTTCGTGACAAGAAGAGATGGCTGCGGCGTACGTTTTAATCATGCTGAATGCCAGATTTATGTCCATCAGCTGCTGCAGAAAGGACAGCACGCCACCTAGTGGACAAGAAGTGGCCTCTACACCTTTCTCCATACAACAGTGCTGAAAAACTGTCCACTTTGATGTGTACAGCAGTGGTAGATGCAGCACGTGAATCCTAGATCGTACGCACTACATCTTGAGAGAGACCCATCCTCTCTAAGCAGATCCGCTCAGCGGCCAGACCCAAAGGTGCTGGCCTATTTCTGGGTAACTCATGATCGCTCCTCCTGCCTGGAGGAGAGCATCCTCCCTCCATGGCAGTTTCCACGGGTGCCCCAATAACAGGTGTCGTAGAACTGGGAACCATGGGGTGTTCACGCACTCGGGAGCCACCAGGAGAGCTGTCAGTCCCTCCTCCTGAACTCGGTTCAGAAAACCGTGATATCAGAGGGAGTGGGGGAAATGCGTAAAGAAGCATTTTGGGCCTTGGGCTGTGAGCAAACGCGTCCACCCCTAGCGGTGGATCGTCTCGCGGGCTCAATGAGAACCATAGTTGACACTGAGCATTCTCTCATGTTGCAAACAGGTCCACGGCCGCTTTGCTAAATTTCTGCCACGTCTAAGTCATCAGCTCTGGATGGAGGGTCCAGTCCCCGTGACTCAGACTGCCTCTGGACATCACATCCGCCCCCCTGTTCAGTACACCGGGGATGTACACTGCTCTGATGGAGAGCAGATTTTGGTGTGCCCAACACAGCAGCTGTCTCACAATGTGTAACATTTGGGCTGAGATCGCATCCCCCTGCCGGTTTATGTATGCAGCAGTCACTTGTTGCCTGTGTGAATCAACACATGTTGATTCCGCAGCACAGAGGCAAAGTGTTGAATCACATTCAAAACCGTGCGACTCTCCAAAAACATTTATATGAGCTGCTGTGTGGGGTGGCCACAGCGCTCCCACAGCTTGATACATGCATGTGCCTTCCCAACCTGACAGGGACGCGTCTGTGAAGACTGACACATGTGACGTAGGTCTGCTGACAGGAACTCCCTCCGACAGAACAAGAGGGTTTCCCAGTGTCTCAGGTCGATTCTCATGGAGGGGGGCACAGCAATCAACCGTCTCTTCTGCCTCACCGGGTCCACACGCAAACGAGCGGACTACCTCTGTAGGCATCGCACCGTGTGAGCAGGTGACATGTCCTTAATAACTTCACGACGGAAACAGCTGTTACCACTCTGCCGGTTTCACGTGAGTTGCACTGCTGCCACCTTTCTAGAAAAATGGGTCAGCAGCAACAGATCGTCCAGATAAAACGAATTCTCCTCCCTGCTCTGTGTAGCGGCTGCAGAGCCGACTCGACGCATTTTGAATGTAAATGTTGTCTCACAGTTGAAAATGGACAAATCTAAGATGGATCTCATCCCTCCGGTCCGTTTTGGGACCAGGAAGTGATGAGAGTAGAACCCTATGTTTTCCTCTCCTTCTGGAAGACTGGAAAGTACATTTTTTATTAGAATTTCCTGAACTTCTGCGTGGGGGGACGAGATCTGTTCTGGAGATGACAGAAACATCTCTAAAGTTCCTCCAAACGGGGGGTTTGAGCTGTAACTGCAGCGTGAATCCCCTGCAGATAGAACGGTTCATCCATCTGTCTAGATTTTGTGTGTTTTCTTGGGCTACGGTGATTTAAAACCTGTTTATAGGACACCGACTCGCTTGTGTGGATGTAGATGAACTTCACTACATGGAGGATGTGTGAGAAAAAGCAGCTGTGAGATCATAGGAACTGACAGTCAGGCTGAAATCGGACACTTTAATTCCTGAATGATGTTTACGTTTTATTCCAAAAACTCAAAGCATCATTATGCACACACACATCCTCCGCAATGAATCATTTTTGAGTCTTCTCCCCCGTCACTTGACCACTCGCTCCCCACGAGATCGGATGCTTCTCTCCCTCCCTCTCCGCTTGGCTTTGCTGCTCTGTCTGTCTGTCTGTGAAATTGCTGTGAGACTCTCTTGCATTTCTTCCAAACCATAATTATGGACTTGTTTTGACCAGTTGGTCCCTCATCTCTATTTACAACATTTCTTCAAAGAGAAGACAGGCTTTGGGCAAGCCGATTTACCCTGTTGGCACGTACGCAGCTGGATATCTCATCGACTGGAAAACTTGATGATGTGTCTATCTCTGCTGCCATCTGTGGATTTTAAGGACGCATATTTAATTGGATTTTCAATAACTGGTTCCTGCTTTTTGGATTCAGCTGGTGCTGGTTTTATCTACAATCAAGGACGTCGTCAGCAGCAAATTTGGACCCGATCACACTGCTTGCCTTTATGATGGCTTGGTTCATGTCTGGAGTACCCGGACTCAAATGCTTTGGGCTGAATGGATCAAATCTTGGGGATTTTTACTCGGACACATTTCCATCGGTGTTGGCCATGTTAATTTGGACATTTCGGAACCGAGTGGACCAACACAGACTCAAGGTTGATGCCATTAAGTTCTGCCTGTCCCCAAAACAACTGTGTGTTTATCTAAATTTTGGTCGCCTTGGTTGTCCTTGAAGGCCATCTTATCTAAAGTCGCCTGGAGAACATGTGATCTGACGCTCACCACCCCCTCCCTGAGGAATTTCCAACTGATAACCAGATGAAACCCCGCTGAAAAAACTTTATGTCATCATTTCAGGACTCTGGATTCTTATAGAGGTTATCCTTGTCCATTTCTCGACATAACTCGAGAATGTTTATGGATCTCACCGAAGGACATTGACTGATTACAGTGACCTCGAGAGCATCTGTAGGCGTTGTTGACCGGTCTTGTCTCTTCCTTCTTCCTGCTCTGCTCTGCAGAATGTCTACGTAAATATGTGCTTGTTTGTGCGAAGTGTTTTTTCAATATTAGGGGTTTTTCTCAGCCAAGAAAAAAGTCTGATAGGATTTTTTCGCCTCCAATTCCTAAATGTGTCCAGTTAACCACTGTTTTTTGTCTGTCCAAACAGGTCTCACTTGTAAATGAGTCTTCGAGGCTCAATGTGATTTATCTGTTTAAATAAAGGTTGAATGAGTGAGCCCTGCGGCTTGTCGGGATGAGGAGGGCTGTACTCTGAT